GGAGGCAGAGCCAGGCGGATCTCTGTGAGTTCGAGGCCAGCCTGGACTACCAAGTGAGTTCCAGGAAAGGAGCAAAGCTACACAGAGAAACCCTGTCTCGAAAAACCAAAAAAAAAAAAAAAAAAAAGATAAACTTTTAAAACATAGATTCTTAAGTTTTAAGAGCATACTTTAAAATAACTCATATTTCTAGCAGTATGCTGTACTGAATGCCCTAGTGGACTCTCACACTAAAAAGTTTGATAAAATAAAACAAAATATCTTAAGCTGGGTGTGGTGGCACACACCTTTAGTTCCAGCATTCAGGAGGCAGAGGCAGGGGATCTCTGTGAGTTCAAGCCAGCCTGGTACACATAGGGAGTTCCAGGACAGCCAGGGCTATGTAGAGATACCTGCCTCAGAAAAATTAAAATTAAAAAAAATAAAATAAAATATCATTTTCAATACATTGATAAACTGTCAAGAAACTCAGATCTCTCCAAAGCCAAAGCCTACATGGAAGTAGAACCCACAAAGATGGGCAATGAGGTCAGTATCCATCCAAAGGACACTTCATCCTACTACAGAGACACTTGCTCACCCATGCTCATTGCTTCTCTAGTAATAATAGCCACAAATTGGAAACAACCTCGAAGTCTGTCAACCAATGAATAGATAAAGATAATATGGTACATTTACACAATGGAATATTACTCAGCCATCAAAAAATGCAATCATGAAATTCACAGGTAAATATATAGACCTAGAAAAAAATCATCCTGAGTGAGGTAACTCAGACCCAGAAAGACAAACATGGTATGTATTCACTTCTCTTTAGATGTTACTTGTTAAGCCATTGATAGGCAAGTTACAATCCCTACCTAACGAAGGTAGACTATTTGTCATAGTCATGGATGGATGAGGTGGAGGAGGGGACTAGGAGGATCAGACAGGGATGGGGAAGGGAAAGGGGAGTCAGAGGAGGTAATACTGGGAGGGAAAGCTAAAACTAAGGGCAATTTGAGGGGTCTTAAGGAAACCTAATATCCTAAAATATATGCATTTTTTATCTAAATAAAACCACCAAATGTTGGGGAAGTCAGAGACCCAAGTGGACATCTCTTGTCACCAAATGAAGCTCCCAGTATCAGGAATGGGTTATATCTAATCAAGCCTAATGGGTCCCCCCCCCCATTAACTCCCAAAGAACCCAGGCTATTGCCAAGGTTGTTCTCCACAAACTGATGGTAAGGTCTAATTGCTGAAGACAATACCTACACAATTCATTGACTATGGAGAGGTCACACTAGAGCCTACCCAGAGCCTTCACTCCTATGGACGAGTGTTCACAGTGTTGGAAGGTATTCTGCATGATCTCAAAGAAGGGTAAACACCAATCCAGCTACAACCGCTCTGATCTGCAATGGTGACCTGCCTGCAAAATACACTGGTGTAACAGTGGCACAGAGCTGGTGGGAGTCACCAACAATACCTGATTTGAGTTAATGACCACTCTATGAGATGGAACCCATACTATCAATACTGCTTGGGTGACCAAGAATCTGAGACTAAATATCCCAAGGACCTAGAGGAAAACCAAATACTCCTGTTCTGCTAAAGAAACACGGCAATAAAATGACTCCTAATGACACTCTGCTGTACTCATAGACCCATGCCTTGCTCAGCCATCACCAGAGAAGCTTCCTCCTGCAACAAATGAGAACAGATACAGAGACCTACAGCCAGACAACTGCAGTGAGAGACCTTGGAACGCTGAGACCAAAAAGGGATATCTCCATCAAATCCCTCCCCTCAGGGCTCAGGAAACTGCAGAAGAGAAGGCAGAAAGTGTAAGAGCCAAAGGAGATGGAGGACACCAAGGAAACAGGCCTTCTAGACACAAAGGACCAATGCACACATGAACACACAAAGACTAAGACAGCATGCTTCTGCATCAGATGGGGTCCTAGAGCTGAAAAGAGAAGTGGACACACATCCTCATCCCTAGGCCAGAAGCCATCTACAGTGATAGCCACTTGCAAATGAAAAATTTTCACCAAGGGAGTCTCACTGGGGAAATAAATCACTCTTAAGGGTAGGTTGCATGCCCAGCACTAGATGGCCAACACAAAATGAACAAAACAGCACCTTTGGAGGTTCCTTGTCTCACAATGTTAAGCCAGGGCTTTTTTTTTTTTTTAAAAAAAAAAAAAACCTTACAGGTCCTTCGCATATATATCATGGCTTCTAGTTTTGTGTTTTATGGATTCAGGTGTGTGTGAACCAGTGTGTCTGTGTGCCTATCTGTGTTTCTTGTGCTTTTTCTTGCTTGGTTGTTCCATCACATTCTAACTTGTCTGGTTTTGTTTTACCTTATCATATGGTATCTTATTATTCCTTAGATGTCTGTTTGTTTTCTAACAAGAGACAAAAGGGTGTGAATCTTGATGAGAGGAGAGGAGGCAACTGGGTGGAATAGAGGGAGGAGAAACCATAATCAGAATATATTATATGAAAAAATTTATTTTCAATAAAGTAAACAAAATGGCCTTCCATTGGTAGCACTACCAAAAACAAATGGAAATCTTTCCTGGAGGAAATTTCTGTCATTCCCAAGAAAAATAAATTCAGCCAAAAATCACACCCTGTGTGAGGACAAACAGACAGATCAGAGAATAGAATAAGACACACAGTTTTAGAATTAGAACTGGAATTTTAAAATCATTATATTTAACACTGTTAGGAAAAAATATTATGAAGTCTCCCTTGCCTCCTACCTGTCTCACTGTGTGTGTAAAAAATTCAAAGTCCCAGATAATCTTTACCCAGACCATTTTTTCAAGGGTTAGCCTTAAGGAATTTTGAGAGATGCACTGATGTCTCCCACTAAGTCAAAGTGCAAGCTTGCTTGCTGCCTGCTAATAGAAAGAAGACTCCCCAGCTCAGTGCTCACATCCTGTACAGGTATCCATCTAGGCCCAGCTCTGTCCCTCTTGTAGGAACTGGGACAAGGGAACCAAAACAAACATGTGCACACTCTGGCTACAGCTTTCACTGAATAATGAAGTCACTTGTTTGAGCCAAGAGGTTCATATCATCTTCCAGTATTTGTGAAACTGTGGCACTAGAGTAAAATCTCAGGCCCTTCCAAGATCTTAACACATGGGACTTTAAAGATAAAAATATGATTAGGAAGCAAGAGGCAAATAAATAATGACACTTTGTAAAACAAAAAATCAAAAAGTAACTTCTAGAAATAAAAATATGGGCTAGTGGTTAGTAGATAGACATGAAACGAATCAGAATGCAGCACAAAGAAAAATAAATACAGTAATTCTGAAAGAGGTTGGAGAGCATGAACAAAGAATGAAAAAGAAAGCACAAATCGTGTAGGACTCACAAAAGGAGGAGGTGGAAAATTCTGGATTTAAAAATTGTGGAGAAATTTCCAGACCAATGAAAGACATCGATTTATGTGTGTGTGTGTGTGTGTGTGTGTGTGTGTGTGTGTGTGTGTGTGTGTGTGTGTGTGTAGGGAGGAGAGAAGGAGAGACTCATTATATTGGAATCCTCAGAAAGGTAAGTATTAATGGAAAAATAAAAGCAGGCTCAAGCTGACAAATGACGTTCACGCACAAAATAAACACAGAGACTGTGATAAAAATGCTTTAATTTTTTTTAAAATCAGTCTCAGATAAGACTGAGATGCAAAGGAAGAATGATGAGCAATGAAAAAAATTTTATTTTATATCAACAATATTTGAAAAATTATAAAATCTATTAATTCTAAAAGAATAGTGGAAATTTTTGCATACAATTGCTAGGATCATAAATTGGTATCTCCACTTTAGAAAAAAAATTATCAATTTTTAAAATAAATAACCCCAAAATTCACTCACCAGGTATTGAAATGGAAAGACTCTCACATATGGGCATGCATATGCTCAGCTCAGCGTAACCTTCCATCATTATTTGCATTTTTATATTGTGTTTATTATGAGCACCCTGCTGTTAGCTATATGAGAAACAATATTTCTGAACTTGCAACTGAGGCCCAGACCCTGGACAGCTTTCTAAGGTAGTGAAAGCTCCCAGGAGAGCCCTTTGAAGACACTTTTTGTCTTCCAGTGCCATTTACCAAGTGGTCAGTGTTTTTCCTATCACGTTTCCATACCACATTAGCTGTTCTGAAGTTCTAGGTTGGCATTCTCCCTGAAATGCTCTTTCCATCTGTGATACCCTAGCTTTCACTTCAGTTCAGAGAAATCAGGAAGGGTAAATGCCAAGGTCAGTGAAGTGAGGTTTTCCCAAGCTTGGGTTATCAACTCCAGCCTGGTTTTTAATCTTCTTGTTATAGCCTCTCATTCAGTTGTGCCTCAGGGAAGCGCTTCTTCAGGACCTTGCCATTACTTATGAGTGTATCTCAAACACATAACTGCATGAGTGGTTTCTCCTTCTTTCTATCTCCTATATACAACATACTCACACAAACACAAACACATGCACACAAGCACACACATATACACACAAACACACATATATACACACAAACACACATTCACAAATACACATGCAAACACACACACATATACACATACACACATAAACGCACATACAACACACACACATGATACTAGCATTTGTTGAGACTTCAATAAAAGGCTTGAGAAAGAAGAAAATCACAGAAGAGCAACCCTGGGAGAGAAGACAGGAAGCAGAATGCCTTCATCTACACCAGGGAGGTATCCAAGACCACAGAGCAGGTTACCCATGTATGAGCTCAAGTTATGATTTCATGCGTTGGCAGTTAGCGCTATTATCTCCTTTACCTGAATCACTGTGTCATCGATAAAGCCCAGGGGACATATGTCTGGCTTACTGTTCTCCAGTCTTAGCCATTCCTACAGTGCCTGAACAGACTTGCAAGCTGGCCTGGGGTGTCAACTACACCAGGAATTTCCTAGTCTCAGGTATGGTCAAATCCATCACTACACCAGCTCTGGCGCTTAGCATTGTCTTACCTCCTCTGTCTTTAAAACTTCCCATATTCGAGCGTGATCCTCCACCAGCCAGTGTCCCGCGTTGTCTACTTTGGTGGAAAGTTTGACTTTAGACTCCACTTGAGTAGGCTCTCCCACAGATTTCCCGTCCATCTTGAAAGAGGCAAGCAGGAGGCATTACGGATCTGGTGGAAGAATGAAATACAATCCAGATTAAAATAAAAAATAATATTTGAAAAGATATGAAAGCTAATTACGGTGCTCAGTTTTCAGACAGTGAAACCACTGAAGACACTATTACAATAGACATAACTCTTATGGTCACTTTTTATATTTAAATATTTATTAATGGTATTTTAATGCAGGCTTCTGGAAGAATAGGGACACCTCTTGATAATGGACAGTGATACAAACTTTATTTTTTAAAATATTTTATTTGTAATTACATGGAGGGGTCTGTGCACATGGGTGCAGGTACCCTTGGAGGCCAGTAGAGGGCATCAGATACCCTGGAGCTGGAGCTACAGGTGGTTGTGAGATGCCAGATGTCAGGGCTGAGAACTGAACTTGGGTCCTCTGCAAAAACAGTATGGGCTCTCAACAGCTGAGCCATCTCTGTTATCTCCTGTGATACAAATGTCATAGGGAATTAAAAAAACAAAATCTGCTTATTATATCTCTTGCCATTTTGCTCTGGACCCTGGGGAGGAAAAGTGGAAATGGGTGGAGGAAAGGCAAATCACGATGGTCTTTTCATATTCTGTATTTCACTGACAGTTTGGAAGAAACATTGGCTAAAGCCCTGGGAGTTTTGTTCCTCAAACACACGCTGGTCAGCTGGGCATGCAAAGCTCTGTGTTAGCCACACACAAAATTCAGTAGTATTTGTTCTCAAATCTCTAAGGCCTATGCTCCAGGGCAGAAAGATTGTAAACAAGCTTTAGCAATGTGTGAAATGCCCCAAGAACAATGTTTCCAAAACGTGATGGAGGACTGAGCACACACCTGGTATACACGAGGCCCTGGATGAGAGCCCCAGCACCCAGAAATAGAAAGCAAAACAACACAGCCTACAATGGAAGCAGGAGGTGAGGAAGACCTCGTCCGCTTAACAGCTACGTTGCCTTCTTAGGCTCTGGGTTCCTGCTGGAGTCAAACGAGACTTTTCAATGGACCCTTATTCTAGAAGGTCTCCCTCAGCTCTTGTCAGAATCTTATCATAGCCCTCTTGTTTTCATTCACATGCCACAAATACACCCTTCTTAGGGGGATTTTTACAATGAGGCATAATCTGTTCATGATATTCTTACTTACAATTTTCTTGGAGAATAAAACCCAAACTCCTTCTCGCAGCAGCTAAGGCCCTTTGTGCCTGGCTCCTTTCGCCTCCCTTTTCTCACTCTGAGCATGCGCCACTGACCACTGACTCACCACCTAGGCCACACCACTCCAGTCATTTGAAAACACAGATGGGACTAGGCCGTGGTGGCACACACCTTTGATCCCAGCACTGCGGGGGGAAGCAGATGAATATTTGAGTTTGAGGCCAGCTTGATCTACAGAGTGAGTTCCAGGACAGCCAGGGATGTTACACAGAGAAACCCTGTCACCCCAAAAAACAAAAAACAAACAAGAAGGAAGAGGAGGAGAAAACACACATGGATCCCAAAGACATCCAATATTCTAGTTTTTGTTTGTCGTCTGTTCACTCTGGTCACACCGCCAAGAGACTTAATGGGGACCCTCTCTGTGTACAGAGGATACGACCGCGTCATATCTACTTGCTTTCAGCCCCATTTCTACCTTCAAGTCCTGGAAGTCCTTTGAGACTATAGATGTGTCCTATTCAAAGCAAATGTTATAAGTAAATAAGTAAATGTTAAATGAAGTTAAATGAATGTCAATCCAATAATTTAGTGACTCATGACAACCCAGAAATAAAAAAGAGGCCGCATTTTGCTAATTCACATAACAAGTAATAAAGTCAAGTTATCTCCTCCCCCTTAGACCTCATTGGCTTGGTGGGCTGAGTTCTTCACCATAAGGGAACAAGTGTAGATTCAGCACGTGTTCCCAGTGGCTATATTGCAAGATGGAATTGATCACTAATTAACAACTATTTCTTATGGCTTCAGGGAGTTGAGCAGATCTGCAAAAGGCAGGCCTTATGCTCATGTAACCTGCTGCCAAATCAGAGTGGATGGAAAAGTAAGACAGAGAGAGGGCCAGGGGTGACGTCAGAGAAACAGAGACAAGTCTCTCTTCAGAGGAGTTCTTTCTCTCCCTTGGTACCTCATATGCTCCATCTGGAAGCCACAGACTGCAAGGCTGCCTGCTTGCAGAGAGCAACCATGAGCTAGCCCCGGCCATCATACAGTATTTAGAAACACGGAGTACACAGCATGCTCCCGTTAGGAGTCAGGGAAATACAGCCGACACAGTTAAGAGTGGACCGCATTCCTCCAAGAGGACACGCTGATAAACGACGCTGACACATGCGAGGGGATAAACAAGGCAGAGTCACGGGGAGGTTTCAAGCCAGGAAAAAGGAAATTAAAAATAAACAGGCAAAATGGAAACAGACCAGATTGGTGGGGAAGGAAATTCCATTGTTGTTACTGGAGACAATACTGTAAACAACAAACAATAAATCAAAACAAAGTGAGGGGCTACGTAAGACGGCTCTGGCTGCGCTCTCCACATGTCATGGAAATGTAACTGGATAAACCAGACAAATTACAAAAGCTCAGAACAAACACTGTGCATCTGCAAGCACGCTGCAACCCAGCGACCCCACAGCGCGGACTCTGCCATCTGCCCACAGCTGCTCTCTCATCTCCACAGTGTGGGTGAAAGTTGGCCCATTTTCAGTGCTGGGACTGAACTCTACTGTGAACTGACTTCCCACAGACTGCTCCTTACCCTGTCTGGGGGAAAGATGCGTTTCTGCTTTGGCAACAGCCCCAAGGCACTGGCAGCTGAGGAGGGTCACGGAGAGGCAGCCAGCTCTTACAAGATTCTGCAGGCTTTGGAGATTCTCCACCTGCTGTCCCAGCCCTGACACTGGAGGTCTTTTCCACCCAATCCTCATTATCTACTCATTTAGAGAGAAAAAACAATGACACTAGGTACCAGCCACTGGGCTCCGTATTTCCCCTTTGAGCTCTCACACATGCAATAACCTTACAAGGTGGTTACCACTGTTTTACCAGGGTGAAACATGAAATTCAGAGGGCCCAAGTAACTGTATTACACTACTAGGAAGCCGGAGGTTCCCCAGTTCCTCTCCCCACACCCCACCTCCAGGTCATTGAAGAAGGCATTGCCTCCATCCCCTCTCCTACTCTCATATCAGTTCTGAAGGCCCCTCCCTCCACCCCCTCTCATCCCTGATGGAGCACCCTCCTTCTGGTGGCCCTTCCTGTGCACCAGGGCTGATGTCAGTTTCTCTCTGGCACAACAGCGCCCCCTAGAGAGAGGCTCACACCTGAGTAGTGCGCAGGTTAGAGCAGGCTAGATGTAGGGGGAAATTTCACCAGCAAGGGATTTTTCCTTTCCCTCTTCCCTACTGACTAAAGTTTTGATCGAGGTAGGCTTTACAGGTGTGTGACTGACAGACCTGCCTAGTCACATGGGACCCCTCGCTCAAGGATTCCATATGTTTGGCTGAATGCTTGGCTGCCCCACCCCCAAATTATACAACCACTGACTTGCCTATTCCTCTTAAGTATAAAGTATTGTTTACATTTTCTTTTTCAAACTTATGTTTTCTTTCAGCAATTAATGAGTTAAAGGTTTCCTACTGGTTCTCCTAAAAGCCAGCTAGACATTTGCATGGTGGCCAGTTTTTGTAAACTGAGAACAGAAGGCATTGTGGCCTTCCTCCCTTAGAGTGCTGTCCTCATTCTTAAAACATAGGGTCAAAGGTTACAAACCAGCCTCCATACAGATATCACTGATGTGAGTCACTCAACAGCATTATATACCTGATGGATTCACCGTAAGGTTCAATGGCAATCTTCTTTTCTAGTTAATGAATGAGTACAAAATATCATAAACTTTATGAAAACGGGTTCTGAAAAGCTGTTACCCTAAAATACACAATACCCCCCAAACCATCATTTTATCAAACTCTTGGATGGTCAGAGCAATCACAAGTTGGAACCAGGCTGGTGGAGGGTGTGTGTGAAATGCTTTTTAAAAGGCAAATATGTAATCAGAAAACACAAAAACATTATTTTTCCCTTAGACGCTAAAAAATAAAATTTCTTGAGAAAAATTTCCTGCTGTCTCCACTGCAGGAAGCAGGGGAGTAAAATTAGAACAGGAAAGACAAGTGTGAGTGGAAGAAGCATGCTCCCAGATGACAAAGGATTTTCCCATCAGAAGTCACGTAAGGGTCTCCAAGGTCACCCTGACTTCAAGATCTGCAATTCTGATGTCACTACAGCTGAATAGTCTTGGTTTTTTTAATTAGAGTTTTCCAAAGTTAAGCCAGATCAAAGGATCTGTCTAATCAAAATGTGTCAATTGAAGAAACTGATAGTTTAAAACTGGTAAGACAATTATCCTCAAAATATGACTATTGCTAGACAGAAAGGTGCATTTCCTTGTAACGGGGTGTTTCTTATAACTGAAATCTGTACTTTTAGTGTCTGTGTTTTCATATGTGTGGTATGCAAGCATGTGGCCTGTGGGCACATGTGCACGCGCACTTGTGTGCACACTATGCACACACACATGCATGTAGAGGCCAAAGAATGACGTTGTGCGTCCCCCTCTACTGTGTCCCACGTTATATATTGAGGTAGAGCAGTGCTTCTCAACCTTCCTAATGCTGCGATCCTTTAATACAGTTCCTCATGGTGTGGTGACCCCAACCATGAAAGTATTCATTGCTACTTCATAACTGTAATTTTGATACTGTTATGAATCATAATGTAAATACCCAATATCTGATACACAACCCCCTCAAAGGGGTCATGACCCACAGGTTGAGAACCATTGAGGTAGCGTCTCTTACCTCTACCCACAGCTCACCAATTCAGCTAGTCCAGCTACCCAGCTAGCCCAGGCTTCCTGTCTCCACCATGCCCACACAGCATGTCTATAGGTGCTGGGTAAACTCTAGCCCTCGGGCTCACTCAGCAAGTCCTTCACCCCTGAGCCTTCTCTGTAGCCCCTG